CCGAGAGAGGAGTTCAGAGGGAAGAGCAAAGGCATGCAATGTGTTTATGGTAGGATTTTAAAATGGGAAGCTGAGAAAAAAGTGAGGCACCGGAGCGGACCACTCCAGAAGATGACCTCAGACAGAGGGAGAGGTTCTTGAAGGAAGAAGTGGTCAGATTGTGTGAAATCTTGGGGAGGCCAAGTCCCTTTCTTCACATGCTGCCCTCCACCTCCAGCTTCCTCTGCCCCAGAAATGCCCATGTGGTTCACTTGGGCTATTTAAAAGTGTTTCCTCTCTCTGTTTACATTTGTGACTCCAGGTATTTCTATCCAAATAAATAAATTTGTCCTACGGTAAATGTAATGGCGATGTCGAGGGATGATGGTGTCGCGTATATAATTTTCTACATCATGCAGCTGTCACTAGTTTGGTAATTTTTACTAAACTGGACCCTTTAAAGCCTGATTTCCTATTTTATACCAACCCCATTATTACTAATGATGGGCTTCTTTACAGAAAGGAAAGACTCATAACGCTTTGAACTGTTATGTAATTCCATTGTAGTTCATTAGTCTGAATACCTTGTAGTTTTTCTGCATCCCCCGAAGTGTTTATTATTTCTTAAATCATACTCCTTTGGGGCGTGTTCCTCACCTTTCCCATGTTATAACCCATGCGCGGGGTGTGAACTAATTTTCTAAGTAAATGCCTATTAAAGCATTTGTCTTTATTTTATTTTATTTTGCTTTCATTCCCTTCATTCTTTCTCATCTTTCTCTTCCTCTGCTTCCTCCTCCCCCTCTTCCCATGCCTCTTTCATCTTTGAGACAGAACGCCATCCCGTATGTAGTGGGTGTTCTGTAAGTACTCTTAAGAGATCTGTTGACAAGATACTCTTTAACCGTAATCTATTCCTGAAAAAAGACTGCTGTTATAGTCTTAAGAATAATAGTAATTACACTTGAGTAGTATTACTCTTTGTCATTTAGCCCACTGTTGATTCAACAATGCTGATATATGGTAAGATGAGTTAATATTCTCTATATAAATGGAGACCCTATAATTATACACCTCTGCTCATTAGTGCACATCTTTTTATGAGGTTAAAAGTCCTCACATCTCTGCCTAATTCACGTTATGTGGTAATTTCCAAAATGGGTTTTCCACCAGCTTGCCCGAGACTTATTTCCCAGTAATGGATTGCCACTTGCTCCTTCACTGTTCTACCTTCAGTTAGTTTTGTTTTTCTCTTAACATCAGGAAGATGAAGACTCGACCTTCCAGGAAAAGGACCTTCTGCTTTCCTGGGAGCAAGAAGAAAACATTGCTGGGCATGTGGCACGTGAAATCCCAGCATTCTGACAGGCTGAGGAAGGAAGATCACAAATTTGAGCCTAGCCTGGGCAACTCAATGACCTACATTATCCCTGTCTCAAAAAATAAGAAAGGGTTGGGGGTATAGATTAGTGTAAAGGCCTTGGGTCCAGTCCCCAGGACTAGGGGAAAAAACAAACACTATCCTTTTAAATAGTGTTAATAATTAATAGGTGAAAATTTAGTTAGCAAATACTATTGTGTGCTTAGTGTCTCAGCGTTTTACCAAAATTAGGCTTTTTTAATGCTTGTAAAGCTTTTGAGATGAGTGCTATTATTATAAGGCAAGGAGGCAGGAGACCAAATCCCTTTCCCAAGGTCATGTTGAGTGTACGTGATGGGCAGGAGCCAGACCCATGTGGACTGGCTGCAGGCTGGGTGCTTTTAACCACTCTGCTGTGTCTCTGTTGTGAAAGATAATTCTACAGACAGGAGTTACACATCACATGATCAAGGAATCTTTAGGAGATAACAGTCTCCCAAAATAGTAATGGATGCCTCAGTACACTGCATAAAAGAAAAATCAGTAAATGTTGCCCCCTATCTAGGCCCAGAATGTCCATTGAGTAAAGCACTTCCATTGTATTTCGGCCTGGACAGTCCTGGCTGAGCTACCACCAGCTGCTGTCACAGACTCCCCAGCCACCTGGATGAGCCAGTTTGCAAGGGGATAGGCCCCAGGCAAGATGCTCCAGAAAACAGCATAGAGCAGCTAAGTAAAATAATTGACTAATGCTTTAAACCATTAAATGATAAACTACTAATGGGAAGAGTATGAATATAACGATGTTGGAATTACTGCCATCCTTACCAGTTATTTATATGTGTTTGCTTTTCCCAGTCATTTAGTGAAGGCCGCAGAGCACGAGGGACAGAAAACCCTGTGGTCCTCTTTGTAAGGAACTGTCTACCACAATACACAGCTGTCTGAAGTTCGCCCAGTATATAACCTGTCTCATTTCTTTTTATCTTAGCTAAGCAAATCCCATTAATGTCATTTTTACCATTTTGTTGACAATGCTTTCATTTAAATGTGCATGTATCCTTATATATACCACCTTTATCCTCTTCTGATTTTTGTCTGAATACATGGTGGTGGTTCTTTTCATTAAAATTACACTTTAAAAAAATCTGCCACCTATTAGTAAAATGAAATTCGAAGAGATTTACATTTAATTCATATTCTGGGTTACATTAGCAGGTCAGATACTATGAGCATTTATTGAAAAGGGACAATAATTTATTCCCTTCCCAAAGGTAGCCCAGCTGATGATGAAAAATAATTCAGAACAAGTTAGGATTGACTTGCTGTTGACATGGGTGTGTTTTTCAGTGAGTCGACTGCTTTATACTTTAAGAGAAGCTTATTAAGTATTAATTTGTTCAACTAATGTTTGTTGAGCGCTGTGTCAGGTATTGGGTTTACACTGGTGAACAGAGTCAGAAATGGTCCTGCCCTCGTGGAACGTGTTGTAATTAATGAGGAAGATGGGCACTAATTTATAAGCACCAGATATGTAAATGTAAGAATCAGCCTCGGTATTGGTATGCGTCATAAAAGAGGATAGCTCTGTGGGTATCTTACCCGATTGGGAGCTGGACCTCACCTCCTCTCATAACATCTTGGCACAGATCTGAAGATAGAGGTGACATAATGTCACCCAGAGATGCAAGAGTGTGCATGTGACATCCATGCAGGGGTCCTCCTGCAGCATCTGTGGACACACAGACATACGTGCCCTAGTTGATAGACATTTCCAAGGAAATGCTCACTTCTGAGACTGTGCCTGCATTAAGTACTCTCAGAAAGCAGTGTTCATCCAAGCCTTCTAGAGCAGGGGTCTGATTTTTTTTTTTTTTTTTTTTGAGACATGGTCTTGCTATGTAGATCAGGCTAGACTTGAACTTACCATGTACTCCAGGCTGGCCTCGAACTCGTGGCAATCAGGCTCCTGAGTGCTGGGATTACAGATAGGCACCACCATGCCCACCTCAGAGGTCTGATTCTGAAGGAGCCTTTTTCAGTTATGAAGAACCACCTAATTTTAAGTAATGGTGATCATTATGAACAAGTTCATTTCAAGCAAAGGATAAAGTACTAAGATAGCAGTGGTTTTCAGGTATGCTTGGGAAGCCTTCCAGTCCCCAGGCCCCATACTTTCATGGTATCTGTGAAATCAAAATGATTTTCATAATAATACTGAGTGAGACATTGTTTGTCCTTTTCATACCTCTTCTTGGAATTTTCCAGAGGCTGGATGATGTGATTTCACCTTAACAGATTGAATGCAGAAGCCTATATGAAATTTCATGCATTGTTTATTAAGCCACACATGAAAAAGCATTGCAAATAATGTAAAAAAAATGCCACTCCTCTCACCATTTCTTTGTTTTCTTTTGGAGAAAAGATTTTTCATAATGTTATAATTTTCATATGTCATGTGTCTATTTTTATTCTAAGTGAATGCATATCTGTAAAAGTTCTGTTTTAATTTCTGATATGGTGATTATCATATAAACAGCCTAGATCAAAGTTCTTTGGGGTTCTCAATCACTTTTCAAAGTGAAAAGGGAGTTTGGAGACCTCAGAGCCATGGAAATACAGCATCTACTTGGCTTTAAGCGTGGTACTTAATCTCTGAGGCTGTCAAGGGAATGGGGATATGATCAAAGTATTTCATAAAGGGACTGAAGGAGTTAGTACATGTCAAGAGCTCATACCAATACATGGCACAGTGTGAGCATTCAACACATCTGTTAGCTTCCATTATCATTACCATTTAGTAGAAGAGCACAGAGTATGTGAATCCAAACACTGTTGAAGCGCTGTCTGCTTTTGTCTGTGGCTGTCTGTATGGTTGTGATGTGAAACAAAGCATTTGAAAGTGAAAGAAATTGGACTTGATTATTTTCCCCTGGATTTGAATGGTAGGAGGACTATGTGGCAGGTGGGCTGGGCGTGAGGCTGGGGGCAGAAGCATCAGACTCTCCTGAGGTGCTGTGTCACACTCCCTCCCTCTGCCCCTCGCGGCCCTCCTCACAACCAGGGGTCTCCTTTGTCCTGAGTGACCATGAACAGGTGTACAGGTGTTTGGAAAGCTTCACTAGAATTGCGATAGGTTTTGAGGCCATAGCGTCCCAGAGGAAGAGCCAAAAGGACACATGGTAGAGAATATCTTGTTCAGCCTGTGCTTTGCAGATGGAGAAGCTGAGGCCCCCAAGAAGTGATTGGCTTGCAGAGGCTCACCAGCCTAGTAGAGGTCTCCTCAGGACAAGACCAGAATTTTGCTTGGGAATGGAAAGAATACCAGGCCCAGCATCAGAAGAACTGATTTTAGTCTCCGACTAAGACTTCGTTGTTTGTGTGACACATTGAGTAGTGTATTTACGTCTCTGCGACTGAACATCCTTTGTGAAGTGGAGGTGGGAATATCTGCCATATCACAGCGGATGGGGAAAGGACCAGCCAAGAGGTCGCAGGAAGGTACTGAGGAGACTTTGTTTAGTTGGTGTCCTTCCAGTCCTTTGCGAGTAATCTGTTGGGAGCACTTTCCAGTGAAACGGTTCCTTTTGAAACTTCAAAACCTGACTTAAATATTACGCTTTTCAGCTTTGTAACATTTTCTTTTTTTCTGTCTTTTTAGGACAACCCAGAAACTTACAGGACCTGTGCCGAATTAAAATTCGACAGTGTATAGGCCTTCAAAATCTAAAGCTTCTTGATGAACTACCAATTGCCAAGGTCATGAAAGACTACTTAAAACACAAATTTGATGATATCTGATATACGAAGACTCTGAGCAAGTTATGTTCCAGATACTTACGAGGCATTTTGCCTTGCACAAAGTATATCCTATGCAATTTCTGATTTGCTCTGAAGTCAGAAAGCAGGTATACACTTTTAGGTTTTTTGTTTGTTTGGTTGGTTTTCATTGTAGGGGAACGATTTTTTATATATATGAACAGATACACACCACATGCTTGAAGGTCTTAATTTGATTTCTTGGTCCAAGTTTAAAAGGTCCAAACTTTCTATACCACACTGCATTTAGAAAAATTGTTTTTCCTAAATGACACAAGCAGGTTTGGAGTGAAGAATTCACCCTTTCCAAATTAATAGTTTCATTGGTGAGCATGGTACTAGAAACCAGCAGAACACTTACTACAGTTTGAAGGTCCAGTTTCACCCAGAGGGTCTTGGGTTATACTGGAAAATGCCCCAAGAAAAGATTTAAAGTCATGCTGGCACTTCATTTACTTTTAATGAATACAAATTGGCTATTCAAACTGTTCTTCTTTTTCTAATTAATGTAGCTTTCAGATGATAAATCCAGTACCTCTGCTTTCCTTTGGGTGTGCTCTTGTTTTTAACTTTTTTTTTTTTTTTAACAACTGTAGGACACTACCCTGAGACATTGTGTCTCAGCTTTTGTCTGTAGTTGAATTGTACTTAAAAAAAAAAAAATGGGAAAGAAAATAATTTTATAAAGCCAGTATATTCTGTTTTTAAAACAGCGCCTCTAGTGCAATACTGTTTCTGGTGTATTCTATCCATTATTTTACTCTGTTGGTCATTCCACAGCTGGCTTTGACATACCTGTGAAAACAGGAATCGCCACTTTAATTTTCATTGCAGGCCTGTAGTATGTCAGTTGCAATTCCATTTTAAGCTTTTTTTTTTTTTTTTAATTTCACTTTAAGTAGCAAATTTTATATCCTGGTGGTAGAATCTCCCCTAAAAATAGCCCAAACTACTGTTATACCATTTGGTTTTAATGGTTAAATGATTGGGAGGGGTGGTTTTCTTCTTCCTGGTTTTTAAATAAAAATATTTTAAGAGTAAAACCTCTTAATAGGTGCACATTTGTAAGTCTGGCTAATTCCTAACATGCTAATTGAACATTTCCTGCTATTTTAAAGTTATGTACAGTAAAGCCTTTAAGGACAGTTGTTTTGTTTTCTGAGTGGCTCAGGCATATGTGTGCAGAATAAGCGTGGCTGCGATAAAGTGACAGTGGAAAAGGTCCCACAGGAGTTCTCTGCTTCGTTCATCATGACGTGAGTTTCAGAAGAACCTTTTTAAATGTCCCAGAATCATTTGTGCTTTGGGAAACTTCATAATATTTACACATTGTTAATAAATTTGTTAACTGAAGTTTACAAGATGAAGGGCTTTTCTTGTCTGCGTTTCTAGTTTCAAGTCATAAAGTATAAAATTATTTTTCCTAGAAACATAACTAAACAGAATTAGGAGTCTACTCTGGCTTTACCTTTCCCAGAGCTGGCAGTGCTATTTGCTCTCGCTGCTGCAGAGTAGCCCTGGTGTCACGGTATCTGATCTGCTTGTGCCTGGGCAGTGTGCAGGTTTCTGACGAATGGACAGCTACAGGCAAAAGGATTATTCGGGGAGCCACTGATGCTGCCCACAGACTCTTGCCAGGCAGCATGGAGCCAGTGCGGTACGCATCCTTAACTGTGGCTGGAGCCTGACGGGTAGGCATGGGTGGTCTCACCTTTTCCTCATTGATGTGTCTCTGAGAGAGTCCCTAGTGAAGACAGCCCTAAACTGTGCTTCTTATTCTTTACTACCCAGCCCAGGGGTGAGGTGCCTTAACAGCGTTAAGTCATACATCCGGAAATGAACTGAACATTCCTTCTGAAACCCTGGGCCCAGGCAGACGAGGAAGCAGGAGGTGCCTGGGATCCTGCACTCTGAGCAGTGATGTTAATGTTCCATTTGCACCGGGCTTATCCCCACATGTGTGTATTTATTTATTCACTTCGCTTAAAATGACATTCTCGTCCCAGCCTTCAAAGGTTTCCAGACTAAGCCACTGAATGTGAGTCAGGGAATCCCAAGTAAAAGGTTCAGATTAAGGTAAATTCTTTGTTCTGTGTTGCTGCTGTGACTTCAGAAAAAAAAAAAAAATTATGAGAGCTCTTCCTGAATTTAAATTTCTATTTAATGAAGAAGTATATAATTTCATTATTTATTGTTTGAGTTTTGATTTATCCAGAAGCTTAAAAAGAATGTTTTATGTTTGTTAATAAAATCCCAATCACATATCATATTTAACAGTAAAATGCCTCATAGTTGGTAATGGGGAAATACGGTGGTGAAATGCAGATCCGCACTTGAATTTGATTGGCAGAGAAGCATTCTGTGGCCACAAGATGGGTAGAAAGAATGGATATTTTCAGAAAATCAGCTGATTGGCTTCTCCAGACTCTTAACTAAAATGTTCAGCATATTAGCAAATTTGTCACTGATTCTTGTGTTTCTTTTCAAATTTATTGTTTCAGCCTATTGCTAAATCTTTATAAAAATATATTGGGCAAGTACACCAAAGAAACCAGCTCATAAAAGGTTAGGATCATTAATGAACTGCAAACCTCATCTTTTGAAAACAAGTCTCTTTTTTTGTAAATATTTATGTTTATAAATGTACAGCAGAGTAAGAATGTTTTTTAGATTATTTAATTCCCATATTTTCTAAACTATTTACTACAGAATAACCCATGCTTGTTAGTTTGGAGAACTTAACTGTTTTGTTTTTTAGTTCATTGTCAGTCATGCTTGGAACAGCATTTCTGCTGGAAATTCCGTGTTCTGGCAGTGCAGGCACGCACATCTGGAGCGCGAGGGAGTCTAGTGTGGCTTGTCAGGTGCACACCCTGAGATGAGAAAGCATAGGTAATTACCAGAGTGGACCATATGAAATCGAGATTCTAGCTTCCCTTCAGAATTGCTCACTAGCCCAGGATGTGATTGGGATAAGGCCATTTGCCCACAAATTTAGCTTTCATGTAACTCCCAGTGTGTTATATCATAATGTATTTTGTTCTTCCTTTGTAATGTAAATTTTGCTTTGGGTCAATTTGAATTAAAAAAATCTGGTTTAAGAGACTTGTTTGACTTACATTTTATTCTTGATCTGCCTTAATTTTTTTAATATTCCTAGATGTTTGGTAAAAAGAAACAAAACTGTCCTTTATCTACATTTTAGATCATTGGGAGATGGGTAAGACTGTGATACAGAAAACAGTACCACTTTATGTTGATGGCAGGTGGGCCAATTTTTATTTTTAGTGTTTAAAAATGCATTCTGCGAATACCAACAACCAGCAGCAGACTGTCTCGATCATCCAGCATTGGAGCGTCTGGTTCGTGTTTGTAACCTCCCTCTTGTGGATAAACTGGACCAAAGACAGAATTTGAATCATGGTGTCCTCAGCTTAGCACATGATTGCGGTTGCAGCAGTGCATTTGCAGTAGTTTATTAGCCTGCGGGAGCTGAATTTCTCACTTCCTGCCTGCAATATCAGCATAGCTCGATTGAGGAGAAATCTCAGATTCGATGAAGGATGGGGTGCTAAAGAAAGGGAGGATAGATTGCTTAGCACCCCACTCAGACGGGATGTTTTGGAATCACAGCCTTGTTGCATATTTGTCTAGGGTTTGGCACAAGTGAGGGCCAAGGGGGGACATTTGAAACAATTTCTAATGGTCAGCAGGGGAGTTCAGATTTGAAAAATAGCTGTATTGCTTGGAAATCTTAAGGTCATTCCTTTTCCGATATGATGTAAGGAGTGTATTGTTTTCTCAGCTGAAAGACAGTTTGCAAAAATGACCTACGCTAGCCATTGATAAAACAGATTCTCTCCTTGATAAAACAGTTATTTTCACATCCCATGTAGTTGGGTATCCAAGGTGAACTAAAATAGTTTTGTATCATCTGACTATTTGTATAACTTACTGTAACCCTGTTCCCTTAAGCAGAAGAAATGATGCTTTATTTGATGTTGGAGCTTTTATTAGTTTAAGTACCAATGAAGATGTTAAAGTTATTAAAAATGTTAAGTGACCTGTTGGGTATCTTAAATCTTAATAAAAAAACAAAGGGTGTTCCCGGAACAGTGACATCACCTCCTGCTACTTGGGAGGCTGAGACAGGAAGATCACAAGTTTGAGGCCAGCCTGAGAAAATTAACAAGACTTTCTTGAAAAAATAAAGGGGGATATGGGGGTGAAGGGCAAGCTAAAGATGAAACTGAGCAGTGGGGCTGCTTGCCCATCATGCACAGGGCCCTGGGTTCAATCCTAGTATACAATGTCAGCCAATGGGGTGCCACTGGACCCCATGACTTTCCCTGTGTGTCCCTGGAAAATATCATTCCATGTTTTGTATTCTATTTCTTAAAGACAGTGGTGCGTTCTATACACAGTCTTCCAGAAGAACTCTGTGACTGGAACGCAGTTCACTTTCTGAATCACATTTGAAAAGATGGAGGTGATTTTGTGAATGGACTCTTAAGAGATCAGTGTGGGACTAAAACCCCGAACCCTGCCTTGTTGCTGGGCTTGATCTCTCACCACCCCAGCAAGTCTTTAGTGATTGTGCTATATGCCTAGAGGTGTTCTTTCATTCATCTCTCCCCACAGTATCTTGTGTTTCCTCTCAATCGTCTTATCTTCAAGCAAAACAATTTTTCAATTCTGAAAACCCATAAAGCATCAGAAGGATCTGATTAAAGCAAAACGTTTTTCTGTTACAAGCATGACCTATGACACATCAGTAATCATTGAGATTATTATAACCAATTTATTTAATACCAATGTTTTAAACTAAATCTTGGTTTGTTCTAGCATCTTAAACTCTCACTTGGGAATTTTTTTATTAAGAAATCGTTTTAAATGTGGATGTAATTTGCTTGACATCACACTGAGAAGTAGTGATGTGATTCACTTTTCTGAGAAGTAGAATTGTATGAATCAGGGCAGAGGTGGCTGAATTTGGACAGCGGGGTTCAGTTTAGTTTGAGAAACTGGGGTACGTAATGAGTAAAGAGACTGAGCCATTGTGACTGATACAGAGGTAACCCAGCTGCAAAGATTTCCTATTTTTTCTGGCAAATGGAATCATATCTTGTCTTGCTGTTCACTCTTGAGCTAATGTTGCTTTTCTTCTTACAGTTTGGGTCAGGTCACTGCTTTGTTTTCTTTTTCTTTACCAGGAAAAAAACAAAACAAAACACGTGGAGGGCATGGATTTGCTGTATGTGACTTTAGATTTCTTTGGAGAGTTTCTTGATTTTCCTGCCCTTAATTCCAGTCACTTAACCCTTCAGCAAAGTACATACTTATATACAAGTACGGACCTGGCCATGTGAAGACCTTGTACATTAGTGTGCCCATTTTAGAGTTCCCTTATAGAGTTCTTGTTTTCTCTGCCTTACTTGGGAAGAAGTATGGCTCAGTATTTTGGAAAAAAACCTTATAAACTAGTCTAGACTATAGCCATTTTCCCTCTTGGGTAACCCTTGAGATGAACATTCTTCCTGGTTAATGGTGAGTGTTCCCAAGAAACCATTTTCTGTGACCGTAGTGGGCAGGGAGCTCCTTAGGAACAGACTCTGGGTCTTACTTGCCTGACTCTCAAACAGTGTTTGCCAAAAGCATCCACTTTCCAGGGTTTTAGCTGTGTGCGGCTGTTGGTTTTTAGCCTGTGACTCTTCAGGCCTATGAGGGCATGTGGATGGATAACAGCATCTGCTGTCCCTGGCACCACATCTCAGGTGAGTGCGGTAGCCCTGTTACTACCAGTATTGCCTTTGCCTCCTCCCCTCAGCCCCATCCCTTCAGCCACCCTTCTGTCACAGTGGCCGGGTAGTGGACCCTCGTGGTCTACTCTTGTGTGGCATCATGATGGTGAGCTTTAAGAGACCCCAGTGACTCGCTGCAGCTCCCACTGCACTGTGAGCCTTCAGAGGAGGTGAGTGCACCTTACAGACGCCCAGCTCAGAGCTTCTGCAGCTTCTACACACACACACACACACACACACACACACACACACACACACACACACGGCTTCTCAGTTCTCAGGGCAGCTGCATGGGGACTGAGGTGGAGCCCTCTCGTCACCATCTCATGCTCTTTCTGCAGCTTTTCATGTCCTGCACAAATGGAGTATGTGTTTTATTTTGTTATTTGTGTGTGTGTAGTGCTGGGTGTGGAGCCCATGGCTTCACAGCACGGGGCTGCATCCCTGCAGTGGTATAATTGGCGTATGCAGTAGTTGTTTGTCCGTTTTTCTTGCACCATTTCTGCTCTCCCTCTTGTTTGCCTGGCACATCGCCTGCAGTACCAGTATTACAGTATCAGTGTTTGCGATGACTCCTAGGCAAGCTGAACAGTTGAAGAGCTTGCATGGTTCTGTGGGCTGTAAAAGCCAGGCTTTCTTTATCTTTCAGTGGATCTTCAGCTCTTTGGATTTCAATTGTTTGCCAGGGAACAGAGATAATCCACTTCTAAGAGAGCAGTAATAGAATGGCATGTGTGTTGCCATGGGGTGGAGAGGCTGAGGGTTTCATAGTTACATCTCCTAGATTTAAACCCTCCACATCCATAAAATGCCCATAATGTCCTATGAAACATGTTCTGAAGTTCACTCTGGAACTCCATTATAATTTTTTTTTTTAAATACCAGGGATCGAACTCAGGTCCTTGCGCTTATGAGGCAGGCAGCAGCAACACTGAGCTAAATCCCTGCCCTTGAATAATCTTGACATGAAAAACCATCTTGAGTTTTGGGGGCCCTCTTAATTACACCAGCCCTTTGTCACCTTATCTTTCACTTTGAATCACCGGCTTTGTAGATTGACCAGGCTGACCTTGAACTTGGGATCCTCCTGCCTCTACCCCTCACATTTAATATATAAATTAAAGAGATCTGGAGAGGAAGAACATGGATATTTTGTCTTAAAGTGGAATTCAAATAACTATCCTTGTATCAGATAGTGATTATCTGTTACACTTTTTAAAGTATTTGTTTACTTAATCTGGAGGCTTCTGAAATTTATGTAGAAGTAGACAGGTAAATTAAACCAGTCTGCAGACCTTTACGTCATCTGGCAAGTAAAAAGTAAGATTGCCAAGTTAGACGTGGCGGGTTCAGTGCAGTTGCTGACTTGGAGAATGGTGTGGTTCGAGTTTACACTGACGTTCCAGTCCTTGAGTCTAAACTGATGATACTGTCTCCCAGAGAGTACTATTGGCTCATGTCCCCTGGCCCTAACCAGGTCCTAGAGGGAGGGGTCACCCTATAGTTCTCTTTCTATACAGGAAATACTTTGTTTTTTTCCTGTCTCTACCTACCGTGCCAAAAGTCCCTGAAGGTGGGCATCTGGCCCTGAGCTTTGTACTCCAACAACTAGAGCAGTGCTTTGTGTAGTCACTGACCGGCAGATGTTTGGTGGGTGAAGGGTGGCTGTGATTGTTTAAGGCCCTGGTATCCGAACCCTCGAACTATCACAAGGTCACTCAATTGCTGACCCTTTAACATTGCTGGGGTAAAGGAACCGGAAGGGAACTGAAGCGTGACTGATTCTAGTCCCTGCGCTGTAAAGTCACATTACACCTAGTCCCTATTCTCACCACCACCCTGCAAGGCAGTCCTGGCCACTTCCACAGACAAGATCATCCCTTTGCTCCCCCACCCTTTCCTGCCTTCTCATGGGGAGGCTTCCCCAAGCCTCTGAGCTGGCGTGACTCACCCTCCCCTGGGTTCTCACAGACTTGTCATATTGTTCTTTGTGTGACCTTATGCTCCTCGGGGCTCTGAGTGCAAGGCTGTGGACCCTCTAAAGTCCAGGTGACCTGTTGCAGGAAGAGGCTTTGTGGCCACAAT